CTGGCCTGGGATTTTATAAAAATATTCTGCAGTAGATCAAAAACGAAAGAAAATCATTAATCAACTTATGAACATTACCTCTGAAGTTACAGCAGTTTTATTAGAGACACGGCGTTTTGCATTTTGTATAATTTTTAAAAAGTTTAAATTTGTTCAGTAGCCTATTGAACGTCAGAAATTAGGTTTTCTTTTCGGAAGTAAGTAAAAGGAAAAAAAAAACATCGGCCAACAGCGCTGTAAACAAAGTCTTGTGCGTAACAAGCAAGCGAATAATGCAGAAAACAGATTTCGGGGATAGACGGGAAACTGTTCTTGAAGTACACTGAGAAAGAGAGAGCGAGAGAGCTGTGCATGAAGTGTGATTTTATCGTGGTGGAAGCAAAACAGCAAAAGTCAGAGGGAGTCCATGATGATGTTTATGTGAAGCGTAGTTTGGATCTTCTTTTGCTGCTGGTTCGGTCAATATTGTTTGGAGAGAGATTAAAACTAACAGTTTTAGAATCAGCGCAAAAAGGGCGTAAACACAAAGCGCGGACCCGCCGAAACATCAGAATCAGCGAGCTGTCGGCTTTCAGCCCCGACCGTGTCCCTGCCGTCAGATAAGAAAGGCGACATCTCACTGATTCTGATCCGCAGGTCCGCGCTTTGTGTTTATGTCTTTGTGCAGAAGCCGTGTACCTGCGCTCATTTACTGTTTTAAATGTTTGGTGGTTGTCAAAATTTTGTGACGTTTCACCTGAGATTCTGGAATTTTGGGCAAAATACATTTATATAAAAAAAATCGATTCAGGATTTTAATGAATCGATTTCACGTTATCCAAGCCAGAATCGATTTTAATCGATGAATCGATTATTAAAACCCACCCCTACCAAAGTTACTTTAAATAGTGCACGTTACATGATGCTTGCTGACTGGATGGTACCAGCTGAGGAGTGAGCTCATGTAATCTGTACTGGTCAGAAATCCCTGTCCACAATGGCCAGGTGGATCACGTACAGGTTCATAGCCAGACACTAAATTTAAGGATGATACACAAAGCAATACGTTTTTACCTTTTTACCTTATTTTTATCTTATTAAATGTTAATTGAAGTCATGACAGCACTGAGGTCCAATCAATGA